TGATACCTTTACTGTGCTAATGCGCCGGCCTAGAAGGGCTTTAAACTTCAATTACCCGTGGCAAACCCCCGATTTTCGTTGGGTGCCCTATAGACAGTAGGGATACGTAAGTGCCAATTTCACGGGATTATGGCCGACTGGACGCAAACTCGTGGGCTTCTACGTTGAAATTTCCCGTTTTATCGACGCGGTTTCCCATCCCTGGAATTGGCGCATGGCTGACTGATGACGGTACTTAAGCCGGAAATTGCCATTATAGTCTCCATTGTATTTTCCGATTAAATAAGCTAAATGGGTAAACATGTCAAGTCACCTTATAAGTCCATTTTCCTATAGGTTTTTTGCCAAAACTCTGTTCCTAAAACTCAGAACTAAACGACGTCAAGTGCCCTTGCTAGTCTTTTGACTCGATTTTCTTATCTCCTAAAGGCCCATCTTCATGTCCACTGTGCCTATGGGTCCAGTAAAGACATCCCACTTTACCGATCGCTTGGCCTTCAACCTAGCCAAATCTTCGCTATTGGTAAGATCTCCCGACGTCAGGCGCTAGAAGCCACTGTGAGTACCATTTGTCTTTTACCTTAATATCGGTTATGACTTTATACTATTCTAGTGGATAACTTGTGTTCGGGACTCATTTGCTAGGACTGGAATTCAGTACTGTCTCTAACGCCACCATAATTGGAACCCATTTCTGTTTTTGAGAAGGGGAAAAACACGACTGTAAGCCGTGTGTTCTCTACATAATTTCATTGACGGTTAGGGCACCGGCGCTCTGATCTTCTCAATCTCGGCTGAAGAAGCTGTGTTGAGCCCGGCTCCTTGCTAGTCCCAGGACACAGCGCCTTTCCTTCATACTATCGAAGTCTGCCTGTGTCCTGGCCCGAAACGCTGAAGGAAGGTTTCGGTGTGGTTTTCAAAAATCATACATAGCTTGCGCGAAGTACTTCACACACACAGACGCCAGCAGCATCGTAGCAGCTTCTCAGTATTGAGGACCCGACCACGTCCGTAATTACTTGTGCTGTCCAGTTCTGAAGGCGCTGATAGACAGTCGTCGACCAAAATAACGGCCAGGTCGGTACCGGTCGCACGCAAACCCTACGCCCTTGTGTTATATGTTACTCTTTCGACTACTGGAGTGTAGTTTTCTCCCAAATGTTGACCTAGATTTGTGTCTTGTAGAATCCGGCAAAAGTATCTTATGTAGTCCCACTCATATACCCCTAGTCCCAGCATTTT